GGTGTGAGTTTCTCGACCAATCAGTGCAAGATTTTCAATAATCACCTATGTATTACAGTACCCAGAAAACTCTCAGAAAACTGAATATGTGTGTGTGTGTGTGTGTGTGTGTGTGTGTGTGTGTGTGTGTGTGTGTGTGTGTGCGTGTGTGCGTGTGCATGTGTGTGTGCGAGGAAGAAAAAGTCAAGACTACATTTTTCCCGACAAGACTGTTTCGTGAATCGCTTCACTCTTCAGGGGATTTAATGATAAGAATATTCGTGACTACTGTTTCTATATAAAAGTATACACAACTAATTAGGTAGTAAATACTAATAAGGTAGCAACGCTTTGTTTCTTTGGCGGCATGAAGATACAAGTTCGTTTTTATTTAGTGATGAGAGTTCAGGTCGTAGATTATTAGAAATTTTCCTTTGAGACCGAAAGTTTACATCTTTTGCTGGAGCTGACAACCAACGGAAAGAGTGCGCGCTCGTTGACATCAGCTATATTTGTCTGTCCTCTTATTGATGATTAAAAAATATCAGCGCGCGAGAAATTTGTAAGTTATTGTAAATATATAGATAGATAGATACCGCTGATCCTTACACTATTCCGTGCTCTCTCGGCAGTGCAGTTTTTCGTTTCTCCCTCTCTGAAATAATTAAGCCAGTTCTTAATATTATATTCTAATTGTTTCAGCGTATAAATTTAAAAATGCGCAGAAAACATCGGCAAATACGTAAGTTTGAATATAAGTATTGAATAAAATACTCCTCCAGCATGCATTCTTTTCTCCGCTCCTTCCCTCCCTCCCTCCCCCATTCACTCATTGTGCCTACCTCCTTCCCTCCTCCCTCACGTATTCTCCCTTCCTTCCTTCAATCCTTCTCACTCACTCACTCCCTCCCTCCACAGTCACTCACTGTCTCTCCCCCTCACCCTTCGCTCATTCTTCCTCCCTCCATTCTGGAAAGTTTTATTGATTTTGGAGCTATATTTTCAAAGATATTTTTTTTCCTCTGTGGAGAGGCTGTTACTACAAATTATTTATATTCCTACCTTTCCCCCCTCAGATTCGGTCGTATATCTCACTTAAGCACAGGTTACA